TTTTTATGTTTGCTGTCAAGGTCCATTAATATTCAATCAGCTCTGCTTTTCTGCTGCTGCTGCACTGAGTGGACGCTGTCTGTCCGCCTGAGTCCTAAGCTCCGCTGATTCCGCTGAAGCTTCTGCAAGATTAGAAGGTCAATTTACAGAGTCAGAACTGTTCACAGTGGTGGTGATAGAAACCAGACGTCCACCGCTAAAAACTGAGCTGTTGGTTTACGATAGTTTTGAGATTTTGGCCTTAAAATCCATTTCTGGTGGAGGGATACATGCAGGGCGTCACGAGGCAAAATAGTCCCCAAAGAAAACGTAATATTTCAGATCTTTTACTATTTTACCATCATCAACATTCCATATAAAACTCAGAATGACTGTGTTTACATCTCAAACACTGAATTATGAAGAAAATTTTTAAACTTTTGGTGGAATTTCCCTTTAAAAAGATAAGTTGGTGAAAAGTGGCTTCCCCCTCCAATCCCAGTCTCCAGAGAAGAGTGAGAAACTAAAAAGAAAATGAGAGACAGACAGAGAGAGAGAGAAAGGAGGAGAAGTGAAAGTGGGAGAGAAAAGGAAGAAGAAAGCGTGTGTGTGTGTGTGTGTGTGTGTGTGTGTGTGTGTGTGTGAGAGAGAGAGAGAGAGAGAGAGAGAGAAGGAGAGTTATAAAGAGGTCAAGGGCACGACATACACACACACACACAGAGAGAGAGACATACTGTGTGTGTGTGGTTGAGAGTTTGTATGAGTGTGTGTGGCTTTGAGTGTATATGAGTGTATGTTTTAATGCAGTTGCATAGTTCATAATTAATTGTATTTGCAATTGCATTTCCTCCCAGTACAACCAAAACTCCTCCCAATACAACTGAAACCACTCCCAATACAACCCAAACTCCTCCCAATACAACTGAAACCCCTCCGAGTACTCCCAAAACTCCTCCCAATACAATTGAAACTCCTTCTGGCACAACCAAAATTCCTCCCAGTACAACGGAAACCCCTCCCAGTACAACCAAAACTCCTCCCAATACAACTGAAATCCCTCCTAGTACAACCAAAACTCCTCCCAATACAACTGAAACCACTCCCAATACAACCCAAACTCCTCCCAATACAACTGAAACCCCTCCCAGTACAACCAAAACACCTCCCAATACAACTGAAACCCCTCCCAGTACAACCAAAACCCCTCCCAATACAACTGAAACCACTCCCAGTACAACCAAAACTCCTCCCAATACAATTGAAACCCCTTCTGGCACAACCAAAACTCCTCCCAGCACAACTGAAACCCCTCCCAGTACAACCAAAACTCCTCCCAATACAACTGAAACCCCTCCCAATACAACTGAAATCCCTCTCAGTACACCCAAAACTCCTCCCAATACAATTGAAACCCCTTCCGGTAAAACCAAAACTCCTCCCAGTACAACCAAAACTCCTCCCAATACAACTGAAACCCCTCCTAGTACAACCAAAACTCCTCCCAATACAACCAAAACTCTTCCCAGTACAACCGAAACCCCTCCCAGTACAACCAAAACTCCTCCCAATACAACTGAACCCCCTCCCAGTACAACCAAAATCCCTCCCAATACACCTGAAACCCCTCCCAGTACAACCAAAACCCCTCCCAATACAACTGAAACCCCTCCCAGTACAACCACAACTCCTCCCAGTACAACTGAAATTGCATATTCTGGATTTGCATATTCTGTCCCACACAGTAATTGGCCCAACTGACCAAAGACACATTTGACTATCATGTGTAAATGCATGTGTCTAAAATGTTATCAAGATACAATCCAGATATTAGACACATGAAGTGACCAGGTGTAAACGGGGTCTTGGTCACTGATCGTTAAGGGGCTGAATTCTCCTGTGTGTGTAAGTTTTATTGCTTGTTAGTGTGAATAGTGACTTTTATTTACAGCATTTCACATCTATTGCTCAATAAGTGATTAATTGAGCGTTTGCTGTGCTCTTGTTCTCCGCTGGGCTCCGGTTTTCCGAGTCGATAAGGCTGGAGGAACAGAGCTGCAGCAGCTGGAGCAGTCAGAATCTGGTGTTTTCCTGCCTCCATTCAAATCTGCAGTGGAATGATGGAAATCTGTCTATCCGATGGTATTTTCTTCTTCTCCTTCTCTCTGTGCGGTTGACCCCTCGTGCTCTCCTGTCGTTCCTCTCTGCTGTCAGCTGTCAGGTGGAGTGAGTGATTCTTTCATCAGTGTTCATTTTTCCTGACGCTGAGTGTCGCTCCCGCAGAGCCGAGATCGCTCCCCGAGTGACAAATCAGACCACTTCCATTAATTACTGGATCCACTCACTAACCGCACCTCTCTCTACCGCTCTTTCTCTCTCTACCTCTCTATCTCTCCACCTCTCTCTACCGCTCTTTCTCTCTCTATCTCTCCACCTCTCTCTACCGCTCTTTCTCTCACGCTCTCTCTCCACCTCTCTACCTCTTTCTCTTTCTCTCTCTACCGCTCTCTCTACCTCTCTCTACCTCTGTATCCCTCCACCTCTCTCTCTACCTCTCTCTTTCTCCACCTCTCTGTATACCTCTCTATCACTCACTCCACCTCTCTACCTCTCTCTCCACTTCTCTCTACCTCTCTATCTCTCTCTTCATCTCTCTACCTCTGTCTTTCTCCACCATTCTCTGTACCTCTATCTCTCTCTCTACCTCTCTCTCTCTACCGCTCCTTTCTTTCTCTACCGCTCTCTTTCTATCTCTCCACCTCTCTCTCTCTCTACCACTCTATCTCTCTCTCCACCTCTCTACCTCTCTATCTCTCTCTCTACCTCTCTGTCCCTCTTTATAGCTCTCTGTCCCTCTCCATACCTCTCTCCACCTCTCTGCCTCTCTCGCGCTCTCTCTCTCTCTCTCTCTCTCTCTCTCTCTCTCTGCATATTTCCCATAAGGCCATTCTCTGGGGCTCGTATGATTCAGTACTAGAGTAGAGTGAAAACTGGAGTATCTACAACCATCTTTAAGCTTTATCATCTTCACAGAAGGCTGCAATATGCAAATGAGCCCTCTAACCAATCATGGTGTTGTTTCCTGTGTGCTGTGAGTGTCCTGACCAATCACAGCTACAGATTAGTTTGTCTGGGTGTTTCAACGAATAGAGGTATTCATGCAAATTATGTAAAAATAATGCAGGTTAATCATTAAACGTGTCCCATTAAAGGGCTCATGTTTGTCTGACTCTCAGCATCTGATACAGAGGAACCAACGCCGTTCTAAGAGCAGCCACAGCAGTGTAGGGCAGAACTACAGCAGGATGCTACTCTGGTGGTTGACCAATCAGAACAGAGTGGGTGAGCTGACCAATCAGAGCACACTGGGCTCCCTGGGAGGCGGGCTTAAAGACACAGGAGCTCTAACAGAGCTTTTCAGATAGAGGGTGAATAGAGATGCAAAGTGAGACAAATATTGTGTTTTGGGAAAAAGAAAGCGTGTAAGTCTGTTCTAGTAGAATTCAAGTTTAAAAATATGAACATTGAAAATGAGCGTAATAGATACCATTTAATAATAATCACAATTCTGGTATTTCACCAGATGTATCTCACGTTTGAAGCAGACGTTGGTTTGGCTTATGTAACAGTGTTTTGGGAGAGTTCTTGGTGCTGCTTTGATGAACTGACTGCTCTGGAAACGTGCTCTAATTTCAGATATTCCCAATATTCCATCAATAACGTCAGTCCGCGCCTCTTTTCAGAGCATGTGAGGCAGCGTCTGCTTAGCAAAGAGATGTTCGAGGTGTTAGAGAACCTAGTTTGGAATCTATTTGGTGATGGCGTCTGTGTGGATTTCACACCTTCGGGACTTTTCCGCTGTCGTTTAGTTGCTGTGGAGGCATAAACATCATTGATTCTTCACACTTCAGTCATCAGTGCCGCTCGTCAATGTCATTTACACCTCCTCATGTTCTCTTATAGACTAAGCGCTTTAATGGACCTTTCTCACATTCCCGTCTGAGTATATTAAGGCCCGTAATCTCAGATTATATTCCCACTGCTGTGATAACATAAGTGTTAACTGGTATTCAAGATAATTCTTAGAGGAGAGAGGTACCATAGAAATGAAGCTCATTATAGTGATTATTAATAACAGTATCAGTCTTTCTGAGAATCTTTACCATAATCCTGAAAATCTCAGATTATATTCCCACTGCTGTGATAACATAAGTGTTAACTGGTATTCAAGATAATTCTTAGAGGAGAGAGGTACCATAGAAATTAAGCTCATTATAGTGATTATTAATAACAGTATCAGTCTTTCTGAGAATCTTTACCATAATCCTGAAAATTAATGACATGACCTCTGAAAAATATTAAAGAAAATCCTAAATGATATGCAAGATAATCCTGAATTTTTAAATTTTTAAATATATTAAAATGAATTCTGAAAACATTCAAATTAATTTTGGACAATATTAATGTAAATTCTGAAAGATATTATTGTTCATTCTTAAATATATTCAAATTAATTGATAAAAAAAACAAAAATTTATTCTGGGAGATATTAAAGGTAGTTCTGAAAGATATTATAGTTAATTCTGAAAATTCCTCATGAAAATTCTGAGGAAATTAAAAAAAGTGAAATATATTAACAAATATTCTGAAATTAATTCCAGAATATTCTGAAATAAAGAAAGATATTTGGAAAAATATTTGTGGTAATTACAACAGATACTTGTAAAAAATACTCTGAAAGATTTTCACAATAACAATAAATAAAGAAAAATGTTCACAATAATTTTACAGATATTTACAATAATTCTGAATGATATTCAAAATAATCCTCAAACATGTTCAGAGTAAATCTGAAATGAGTGCATAATAATGTTCTCACATGCAAAGTAATATGACTGGAGTGGTAGCAGGTTGTCCTATAGCGCCCCCACAGGTTCACGAAACGGTCCCTGCAGGTTGTATTTTGCTGTTGCACCTTTACTGAGCTGTGGTATCTTCATGTGTCTTCATGTGTGTGTCTGCAGCCTTTGCGGAGGGTGACGTTCTCCGTGGCGACACAGCCGCAAGACCCTGGTTGCTATGACAGTGGGGTGGAGGACTCGGAGACCCCCAGCAGTAAGAGCTCATCTGGGCCCAGGATCGGAGTTCTGCCGCTGCCAGAGGACGGATACGAGAGAACAACACCAGAGGGCAGCGTGGGGGAGGAGGAACATGTGGAGAACGGTGAGAACATCCACACACATGCTGACATGAGAACACCTCCAGAAACAAGACCTCCAACTGGTAACTTTGTAGGAGAAGGAAAGAGAAAAAATCGATTTTAATTTGATTTTCAGCCATAAAATTTTAATCAGCTAAGGTAGAACCTAACTGTGGGCTATCAGGTTGTGAGATGCTGGTATACGCTTATATTGAGGCCATGAGTTAGTCTGATTTGAACTTTGTTTTCCAAAAAATGGTGTTTTAGTTAGGGTTGGGGTGGGTCTTGCAGTCACGTATTCGGTAGGTAACAGTGAAAACATGCACAGATAGAATGGAGAGGGGAGTTGAGCTCCTGCCCTTCTGCGCTCTGGGTCAGCATGTATAATATATATGGCCATTTTCATGAGCCGTTTCAGCAAGGCGAGGCCATGGCTGCGTCCAGACACTTTTGCTACTGCTCCTGTCCTCTTCCTCCCTTCTTTCCTACTGCTTCTCTATTACCCAACAATAATCCGGAGGGTTTGAGGAGAGAATGGAGCAGGAGGAATGGAGAGAACAAGCTGAAATTTGGGGAAACGGAACAGCTGATTCCTTTCAGCATCATTAAATTTGATGTGAACTATTGACAAAATGAGCCAATCACAACATTCCCTTTAAAAGCTGCTACTCAGAGCTGCCTATTCACGTTTGTGTGGTTTTCTACTTTATATTTTTTATTTTATTTTAAACCAAGTACAAAATACAAAACACATAAACCCAAATAAAATACAGAATTTAAAGTATAGCTGGACTACTCCATGTTTGTCCATCCTCTCTGGACATCTCTGCAGTGATGTCACTCTAAATTCTTTAAAAGACGTCCTGGGTAGCATCCACTCATATATCCTCCACTTGAAGCCACTTTGGCAGGCGTTCTAAGTGGCTTCTTTCTTCTCGTCCAGTATTCGCCCAGTAAGATGGCGTCACAAATCAGTTTCTAGATCACGGAGGAGAGGAGGAGGATTGGTAGGAAAGAGCAGCAGCTTTCAGGGTTTCTGGACACAGCCTCAATCTCGGGAATCAAGCTTGTCTGACAGTTCGGATTCCACTAGCACGTGGTGTGAAATTCTCCATCCACGTCCTTCGCCAGTGCCTCGCTGCTTGAGTGGCACGTCTGTCTACAACGCTGGACATGAATGAACCTGTCCATCAGTCTTGGATTTCAAATAGTTTAGATCAATCATCTTCTCAAGTGGGCTACTCTCGAAAACTTAAAAGCTCAGTATAGTTCATCACTGTCATACAACAGATAGATAGATAGATAGATAGATAGATAGATAGATAGTGCAAATGTGCAATAATCGGCATAAATATAACATATCTATGAAATATATAGCTATATGAACAATATATACACAACTACAAACATAGACACGAAAACCTCACGACGTTTTCACAGTTTTGCATGTTTTTTTTTTTTAAAAATCCATTGCCCTCTGCATTGTGTTGAAATAGAAATGGTCAAAAATGTGGTTCTACTAATGTTTTCTATAAGCATTCACTTCCGGTTTTCTATACATGATTCTCAAGTATCAAATTATCCAGCATTATGGTGATGTAGAACGAAATGACATTGGATTAGAAACATTAGCACTTTAGAAAGCTTAAAAACTCAGGTTTGATTCCTGCAGATCATTTAATGATGCGTTATTCACAGCAGTTATGATCGTTTAATTTGAGACATAAGCACCGAATGAGAAATGCTCGCAAATCTGTGGTCCTTACCTTCAAACCCTCGCCGCTCTCCACAGAGACGTCATAATCTGGTCTTGATAACATGGCAAGAGTCAGGGATCAGTTTAGAGATCTATCGGCCAGTCGGGCAGGAATAAACTCCTCCATTCTACACACACACACACACACATTTTCTAAGCAGCTTATTCTTCTGGGTCACGGGGGGAGCTGGAGCCCATCCCAGCGGTCATTGGGCAGAAGGCAGGAAACACCCTGGACAGGTTCCACCACTCTAGCCACATACAATTATTCTGACTGTTGAGAGTGTTACCTTTCAAATGAGACCAAGATCATGACTGTAGCCCAAAGTATGTGGAAACAGCGCTCCTGTGTGCTGTTTCAGGCTAAACTGGGGCGACTATTAAAAGGGTAATTTTCTTTACAAGTTAAGCTTCTTCCTTCTCCTGTGAAGTTACCGTTACTGAGACACGAGGTTTTGTACCAGTAGCGATGATGTGTTGGTTGGCGATCAACCAGCAAAGATATTTATTAACCAGCTATAACTGCAGTTCAGTGCTGTCTATAAACTCATCAGGAACATCAGCAGCATCAGGGACGTCCTGTCATGTGGTGTTTCTTTTACTTATATCTTTGTGTTCGTTAAGTTTTGTACAAAATGGGGAACCCAGATCTTTACTTTTCATCTATGCCGTCTAGTTGAAGCCAACTCGTTTTTTTTTCATCCAGCAGTCCCTCACACACTTTTTCACCACTCCCTGTTGATAACAAATGGGGCGAAATTTCGGACGGTGCATTTGTGTGCAGTGGAGGGACATGTTGTTATAGCTCTTGGGCACCCCCTCAGGTGCAGTACCACCCCTTTACAGAGAAGTCTGTTCTCTGTAAAATCAACAACACCTTGGAACTTGACTGGGGGTGCACAAACTTTTTGACAGTATTGTACATCTATTTATTTGTGCTATTGTTGAAGAGTTTTACCCAAAGCCTCGTTTTTTCTTTCTGGTGAGACGTAAGGCTTTTCTCCTTTGTGCTCAGGTTGAAGGTGACGGTAAAGTTTCCAAACGCTGCTTCTTTCATTCGTTTTCTACTCTGTAGCTTCACTGAAACTCCAGCTTTGTTCACTTCCACCGGAGAAAAACACGACCTTGTGCTGAACAAACAGAGCAAAGAAAACGCGGAGGTGCTGTGTGAGTGAGTTCTAGCAGGAAATCTAGTATACTATTGGTGTGGTACAAAAGTCAGGGACCACTTATTTCATTTCCAGTCAAGTGCAGTGAAGTGTGAGTTCTTAATTTTTCAGGAGACATTTGTGACAAGATTAGACAGAAGATAATGCACTTGAATAAGGAAGAAGATAGTAATACCCCTAACAACCAACTGGAAGACCAGGTAGACCACCAAAACTGCCCCCATCAGATAAACCGCACTTAAAGCTCTCATCTTTGAGATAGAGGAGAACATCAAGCTGCTTCAGATCTGAAAGCATCCACAGTTGTTTCTGTCCATCCTTCCACTGTGAGAAGACAACTCAGCGTTGTGGGTCTGAAAGGATGCGTAGCTGTCAAGAAGCCTCACTGAAGAAAAGGAATCAGACAAGAACATCTGCAGTAGAACACCGAAACTGAATGTGAAGAATTTTCAGACTGAAGAGTCAAAATTTAAGATCTTTGGTAGTAACAGAAGGCAGTTTAGACGCCACCAAAGCCATGAAAGACTCTTCAAACCATCAGTGAAGCACAGTGGAGGATCAGTGGACGTTTGGAGATGAAGAACAACATCTGGAGCCGGTGAAGTACAAATGTTAATCCATCATGCAGCACCTTCTGGAAAACATCTGACTGAGAAAAAATTCAGTCTACATTAAGATAACGACCCCAAGCACACTGCTAAGGTGACTGAGACGTTCTTATGTAACGAAGAAGCTGCTGGTTTTCTTAGAACAATGGACTGACCACCCCAGAGTCCAGACCTCAACATCCTTGAATGCATTTGGACTACTTCAGAAAATGATGAACCTACCTCTAAGACTGAACGTTGGAGGTGTGTCTGCAGATTTCTTTGACAAACTGAAAGTGAGTCTCCTGAAAAGAATGGAAGCTATAATAAAGGTAAAGAGTGACTCACTAAAATACTGAAACATCTCATACTAGATTTAGTTGTTGAGGCTTCCAGATATTAAAAATGAATAACTAATAACTTATTAATGGCTGCTTTAAAAATTGCACAAGAGCAGGTTTTATCTAAATAAAGATTTGATGGCTTTCTGTTCCAAACTATTATTAGAAGCTGATATTGAAAATGAAAACATGACGCTGTGCTCTGCTGTGGGTCTCTGTGTCCTGACTGAACAGTAGAGGAGTTTTATACCCAGATTTAGCAAAGCCAATCAAGGTCTTGTAAAACCCTTTAAATCTGATTGGTTCCACCATGTTGACAAACACACAAACAATACAGCAAACAGGATTAGAGTCCAACCAGCAGCGAGAAAACAAGCACAGTGATGAGCTGTTTCTGCTCAGAAAACACAAAGAAGAAGGCTTTAGCCGAATCCCAACTGTCTCTCACAGTCTCCCGTCCACTACATAGGGTGTGTGGTCATATAAGTGTGGGGTTAGTCCTAAATGTTCCTCTATTTACAGTATCTAGTGCACTACATAGGGTGTATGGTCATATAAGTGTGGGGTTAGTCCTAAATGTTCCTCTATTTACAGTATCTAGTGCACTACATGGGGTGTAAGGGCCTATAGGCTTTATCTGAATCCTAAAAGTTCCTCTATTTACAGTATCTAGTCCACTACATGGGGTGTAAAGGCTTCAGTCCTAAATCTCCCTCTATTTACAGCATCTAGTGCACTACATAGGGTGTGTGGTCATATAAGCTTTGGGTCAGTCCTAAATGTTTGTCACAGTATCTAGTGCCATATATAGCATGTAAGGGCCTGTAGGCTTTAGTGGAATTCTAAATAATCCTCTATTTACAGTATCTAGTCCACTACATAGGGTGTAAGGGCCTATAGGCTTTATCTGAATCCTAAATGTCCCTCTATTTGCAGTATCTAGTCCACTACATAGGGTGTAATGGCTTCAGTCTCAAATCTCCCTCTATTTGCAGTATCTAGTGAACTACACAGGGTATAGGGGCCCATAGGCTTTAGCTGAGTCCTAAATGTCCCTCTGTTTATAGCACTGCGTTCACTGCATAGGGTGTATGGCCACATAAGCTTTGATTCCATTCGATTCAATATATTTAATATTTCATATTTTGCAATGGATCTTTAAAAAGATGCTTCTTTAGTAAAGGAAATGGTTATGTTTAGAACCATGAGTTCTATATATAACCACTTGCATGCCAGTATATCTATTATTTCATGTTATGTGACATGAACACTCTTAAAAAGAGACAGTTCTTCAAGGGTTCTTAAGTAAAGGTGATAGTTCTATCTAGAACTATGAGTATTGCATGCCTAAATGGTTCTTTGCATGATGAAATGGCTCTTCAGATAGATGGAGAATGTGCTGTATATGGTTCTATATAGAATTTTTTTTTAAATGGTTCTATGTAGCACCAAAAAGCGATCTTCTGATGTTACGATGTCAAGCTTGTTACATTAGCAGAACCCTTTTTGGTGCTATATAGAACCATATGCAGCATATTCTCCATCAATCTGAAGAAAAATTTCACCATGCAAACAACACTTAAAGCATTCAAGTGGTTCTATAGAGAATCTGTGGTTCTTTCTTTTACTAAGGAACACCTAAAGAGCCATTTATTTCAAGAGGTTATTATAGAGGTTATTATAAGATTATTTAACTTATTTCTAGACTTTTTTTACTTGTTTTAATGACTTTTCTCACGTGAAATCAACTCACTGTATTAGCAGATACTTGTGCTTATTTCAAGCATATTTCAAAAATCTACCAGTAAAAGATCATTTTAACACAATTTTAACTTAAGGAATATTAGATATCTTGACTAGATTTGAGGTCATTTCAGTGTAGTTGTGTGGAGAACATTTCCAAAAGCTCACTGATTGATCCCATACAGACAGATCTAGTCTAGTCTGCTCAAGTTCTATTGTTTATTTTCCAGACTTTGTCTTGTTAAAATGTCAGTGTTTGTTTGAAGTGTATGAGAAACAAACTGCAGAGGCCTAACATGTCTTGGCTGATTGACTATATTTGGGGTAGGCCGTGTAGGGGGGGGTGAGCGGGGGGTGTATATTATATATGTTTTTTTCAGTCCAGGCTCAGTGATTTGTAAGGCAGTGAAAGTGTTTTGCTGCCGGATCGTTTATGTGTCGCCGGAATAAAAGTGCAGTTATTTATAGCTGCACTCAGCATCCACGTCATCCACTCGGAGCGGCGGTCCCACGGGGGGAAATCTAAACAGGACCTTCCCCTGGAGCGCCGCCAGGAACACCACCACCGTTCACAGCCCTAGTTCACAAAAATCCTAAACAAGTAAACCATTTCAGCACATCTCAGTTCCACTTTCACTTCTGGAGAGTTTCATTCTGAAGATGCTGTTTATCCGTTTAACACTATGTAGTCCAGGACTGGTCGTAGTTGCCAGTCCAGCAAACTGACACTTTAATCTCTAGCAAGGGTTCTTAGCCTGGGGGTTGGCAATAGGTCCCAGGGGGGTCATAAGAGTGGTCTTATGGGACATATCAAACACAGAGAAAATCATTTTGATGAGTGCATACAAGCTCTGCTGAACGGCTCCATCTACAGGCAACATGGGTTAATGTCGGTTATCAATTTGTATTGGGTGAGTGTATTACTGAGGGAGGGTCTTGATTGATGGAAGATACTGATGGAGGGAGGGTCTTGATGGAGGGAGGATCTTGATTGACAGAAGGTCTTGGTTGAAGGAAGGAGGGTCTTGATTGATGGAGGGAGTTTCTTGGTTTAGGGAGGGTCTTGATTGAGGGAGGGTCTTGGTTGACAAAAAGTCTTGATGAAGGGAGGGTCTTGGTTGAAGGAGGGTCTTGATTGATGGAAAGTCTTGATTGAGGGAGGGTCTTGATTGATGGAGGGAGGGTCTTGACTGAGAGAGGGTCTTGATTGATGGAGGGAGGGTCTTGACTGAGAGAGGGTCTTGATTGATGGAGGGAGGGTCTTGGTTGATGGAAGGTCTTGGTTGAAGGAGGGTCTTGATTGATGGAAGGTCTTGGTTGAAAGAGGGTCTTGATTGAGGGAGGGTCTTGATTGATGGAAGGTCCTGGTTGAATGAGGGTCTTGATTGAGGAAGGTTCTTGATTGACCATTTAACCTGAAGCATTTTTCAGCACCAGGTAAAAGATTTTTGGTTTGTGGTGAAGTGCTAGCTAAGGAATGCAGGCCAAGTGAGTAGACTTACTACTCGATTATTATTCTGTGTTTTCTTTAATGAGTATACTGGTGTGTGTTTGGATGGGGCGCTGGAGGGCTGGGGGGGGTGGCGGCTGGAGGACAGAGGGGGGTATGTTTGGCAAAGAGGGGATCACCAAATTTTTTTGACCCCAAATGACCCCTGTGAAATAAGTCAAGAACTCCTGGGTTATAGGACTCGACTTTAGAGAAACACAGCCTTTACTGGAATAAACTAAATTAGGAAGCTTTAATTTTCATTACATATACATAAAAATAATTCATAACAAGTGAAAGTAAGTGTTGCTGTGTGACAGTATTAATGTGTCAGTACTGTGTCAGTATTAATCTGTAGTGTGCTGTTTTACAGTTGCACTGGACATTAGTCCACTAGATGGAGACAAAGCTGCATTTTTGAGCCAAACACTATTTTTGACAAGAAGGTTGAATTATTTACATTCTATCTCTCTCTCTCTCTCTCTCTCTCTCTCTCTCTCTCTATTTATCTACTCTCTTATAGTCTCTCTCTCCTCCCATCCCTCATTTCCTTCTTTTTTCTCTTTCCATACTTCACTCTCTCACTCTTCCTACCTCTCTCTCTCTCATTGTCTCTTCCTCGACTCGCTCTTCCCTTTTCTCATCTCTCTCCCCATCTCTCTCACCCTCTTTTTTCCTCTATCGCTCTAGCTGTAATCAACTAGAAGCAGTGAAAAAAACGTTTACTACCATTATAAGTATTAAAACATATACAAATATACAAATATTTTTTATAGATTTATAGATGTTATTGCTATGGTATCCCATGTGGTTGTTAAGGTGTAGCTACGCTGTTTCTATGGTATCCCTGGTTACTAAGGTGTTGCTAGACCACTGCCACAGTATCCCGGGTGGCTGCTAAGGTGATGCTAAGGCCAGTGCTATGTTATTATAAGTGGTTGTTAAGATGTTGTTAGGTTATTGCTATGGTATCCCATGTGGTTGCTAAGTTGTAGCTATGCAGTTTCTATGGTATCCCTGGTGGTTACCAAAGTGTTGTAAGGCTATTGCTCTAGTAAACCTGGTGGTTGCTAAGGTGGTCCAAGGCCATTGCTATGGTATCCTTAGTTGTTGTTAATATTTCTCATTATAAGAATTTTGTAAGATTAAGTAAGATTATTCAATCTATTTCTAGACATTTTCACTTATTTTAAGTAATTTTCTCAAGTGAAAGTATTTTCCTACATTAGGAGATCATTTTTCTTGCTTCAAGAAAGAGTGCTTAAAGAAAGCTCAATTAACTTCATAAAATTGCTCAAAAGAAGTAAAAATATCTAGAAATAGCTTGATGTCTTCACAATCTCATACTGAGAAATATTACTTTTACAGCCTACATTTAATGTTAGTTTTGAAATGTAGATTCACTTTCCTAGAAATTTCAACCTGTTGAGGAAAAAAATAAAATAAACTCTCTCTCTCTTTCTCTCTGTCTCTCTCTCTTTCAGACCCACGGCACCTCCCTGATGTGGCCCTAACTGGTAAATGTACACGCGACTGCGATGAGTTCGGCCACTCGGACGCCTGCTGGATGCCCGTCCGTCCATCACCACGGAAACGGCAGCCCGGCGACCCCTCGGCAGGTGACGACAACAACAACCACGAGGACGACAGCGAGCGCGAGGAGATCGAGGAGGAGGAAGAGGAGGGTGGCGAGGAGGACGAAGGCTCGGACCAGGGCAGCGGCGGTGGCGGGGCCGAGGACGCCCGCGGCTCGCTCTCCAACGTCGACCAGCGCAACCGTAACATGGGCGACCACAACCGCAACCTGCTGAACCGCAAGATGACCTCGGCCTCCTACGACACCTTCAGCAGCGCCGGCTTCGGCCATCACCACCACCATCACCGCGGCAACGAGCAGGACGACCTGCACCAGCGGTCCGAGGTCATCCCGCTGACCCGCACGGGGGGCGGAGACTACAAGACCACGTCGTGCCTCACGCTGTCGCGCAGGGAGGTGTACCTGTGATCCAGCCTCATACCTTCGATCTCCTGGGTGACTTCCTCTGAACCCTCCACCCTCAATCACCCCCAGGTGACCTTTGACCTCTGGCCAGACACTCACCTGGGGCTGATGAAGTCCAGCTGAATTTCAGGACCGCCCTAAAGAGGTGGTCACCAACCCTGGACCTGGACTTCTGCAGGTTTCACCTTCCAAGCCAAACATCTGAATGTCTATAGATGATTACTATGCTAATTTAATAGTAATTATGCAGGTCTAATTATAATAAACGAACATTCTACTGATAGCTAGTTTATAATAACAACTGTACAAATGTAATGACAGCATAATTATGCTAGAAGGTGAACCTGTGACCTGCGAAAAGGATGAAAGCATCTTAATATTCCTCAGTATAAGACTGTTAGCACAGTTGTAACATAATATAAAAGCTATTTCCAGATATTTTTACTTATGTAATTTTATTAAGTGACATTTTACTGCACTAGCAGATCATTTTAGCTTGTTTCAAGAAGAAAAAACAAAGTAAACATAGTAACTTCACTTCAAAAGAAGTAAAATATCTAGAAATAGCTTAATAATCTCCTAACAATTTTATACGGAGAAATATTACATATACAGCCTACATTTAAGGTGCTTTCACTTCATTTTCGCAGTGTAGAAATTTCATCCTCAATTTCCAGTCCTCATTCAACCAATCAAGAACTTCTACAGACAATTATTAGCTGGATTACAAGTAGGTGGATTAGCATTAGAGCTAGTAGATCTCCAAGAGCAGAGTTGGTGACCACCAACACCAAAGCACACACCTGTTCAGAACAGCCGTGCTTACCTTTTTTTTGCCAAACGAGACAAAAACAAAGAACAATCATCCGCTCATTTCTCCGGATGCAAAAACAAAAGGATTTCGGGACTTTCGGAGAACCATGGAGGAGTCGTGAACTCGGAAATACGTGCATGTTTGACGCTGTAGGGAGAAGGAGAGGCGAGTTAACGTTCTTCACGTGTAAAGGAATAGCATCTAGCCAATCAGACGGCTGTACAGATGTGACATCATCAACATGCAACCAATCGTTTCGAACCGAAACGAACTTGCTAACTGTTTAGCGGCTAACCAATCATCAGTTACGCATTTGAATATACATCTAGTTCGTAGATCAGTAGTGTCAGAAGACGATAAAAGAGACAAGAAAAGTGGAGTATACTGTTTTTTCTTTCTTTCTTGGAGATGTAAACGGAGCGACTCTGCGCTGACGCGTCTCGAGGGACAGAAGGATCATCCTGACTGTTACGGTTTCACCACGGACCTGAAAGTGAAGCCTCGCAGCGACTGTTTAGCCAAAAGAGAGCGACGAGACACTTTCGCAGTTTCTTCATCGGCCACGTTTCCTTCTTTCGTGCGTCGCGTGAGCGCACTCTCGCACGCAAAAAAAACTCGCATTCTTCTGCTGCATATTAGCCTTTGTAAAAGAAATTAGCTGTAGCATCTTTGCCTGCTTAACCTTCAGCCGGCGCATACGACGGTGAAGCGCAACTGAATAACTAATCATCTGTTTAAGTGCATCATACTTCAGGGCATTAAACGACGCTCAAGCTACTTCTATGCTATCCAGTAAATGAGAAATGTATCATCTTTTTTATGTAGGAACCATAGGTGAACCAAATTTCTGTAAAGACCACACTGCATGACTTAAGCTAATGCTAATTTTTTTGATAAAAATAGACATTTTTTTTTTCTCTCTCTGGGGATGTAATCTCTTTAAAAATTGTGTGTGTGTGTGTGTGTGTGTGTGTGTGTGTGTGTGTGTTGAAGCCCATTCCAAATAGGAATAGGAGAAAAAAAATCCTTGTTTTTACTACTCTGGCAGCAGTGTGTCAAAATATTTACTTATCATGACAAAATCACATTTTCTTGACATATTTAGTATCTCCTAAAATGTACTCAAAATATTGACTGAATTAGGCTTTTCTCCAAATATTAACTTGATCATTTTAAATAATGACTCATTTTTATGAAATATTGATTTAGCATCTCTTAAAAATAACTTTTACTCTGTTACTGACTTAGTCTTTCAGATTAATTATGCGCTTTCTCCAAATATTAACTTTATATTTTAAAATAATGACTTATTTTCTCAAAATATTGATTTATTATCTCAAAATATTAACTTAGTTAGTTAAAATAATAACGATAGTACCTCCAAATTCCAAGAATATGTAAGAAAGTAATTATTTTGAATAATTAGGGCACTATTTTGAGAAGATTCTTAATTATTTGATTAAAAAAGTCAATGTTTAAATTAGTCATTAATTTGAGACACTAAGCCAACATATTGAGAAAATAAGTTATTGTTTTCTATAAAATAAGTCACTTTTTTGAGACACTGAGTCAGTTCTGAGGTACTTCTGAAGGAAACAAAGGAGAGAAAAAAAAAAAACACAGGTGATTCTGTTCTCCTCTACCTGGCGGGAATGGGCTTCAGTGTGTGTGTGTGTGTGTGTGTGTGTGTGTGTGGAGGCAGGGAGTGCGGCGTGTGTGGAAATGTCTAAAGTTAAGCTCAAACTTTTCCAAAAAGAGAGAATTCCACTGAAGCGATGCAGGTTTCGATATGATTAGCCTACTTCATGAGCCTTTCTCTAACAATCATTCTGTAAACCTGTATTGTTGTTCGTGTTCTGCTGTTGAAGGTTGATTATTGCATGATGCTCATGTCTCCTGTGGATCCTGGTGTCCTGCTGCGTTCAACTGAGTTCGGAAGCGGGAAGTCTGACCTCCGAATGACATCGTTTTTGAGCTGCAGAGGAAGCTACCTGGCTAATGTTTCTTTGCCTTTTCCTAGTCTGAGGTCAAGAATTCTGACTGGTGAGCTCCAGTTGAACGCAGCATTAGGTGAGGCCGAATGTTTCATTGTCCAGGCTCATTGGTGTTGTCACTGTTCTGTTGCATTGTGGGAAATGTAGTTCAAGCACCTTCATAAAAATGTTCTACTGGCATCTCACCAACACTCAGGAATCCTGAGATGCAGCAACGACCACAATGTCTCGCTCTCTCTCTCTCTGTCTCTCTCTCTCTCTCTCTCTCTCTCTTCTGTATCTGATTCTTTATCTCTTTCTCTCTTTTCACTGTTTCTTTTTCTCTCATTTTTAAAGTTTTTCCTGTCTTTTTCTCGTCTCTTGCTCTCTTTCTCTTTCTTTAACTTTTCTCAGTGTCTGATTTCCTTTTTCTTTCTCTCCTTCCTCTTTCTCTCTGTCTCTCCCGCTGTCTCTCTCTCTCTCCATCTCTCTCTCTCTTTTCTTTCTTAACTATTCCTCTGTATCTCTTTTTCTCATTTCTGTTCTCTAATTCTCTTTCTTTCCTCTGTCTTTATCTTTTTCTCTTTCTGATTCACTTGCTCTCTTTCTGAATGTTCTCTTTCTCTTTCTTTTTCTCTTCTCTTACTTTCTCATTCTTCTCTCCCATCTCTTCCTCTGTCGGTCCTCGTTTTTTCTCTTCCAGTGTCTCTCTTTTTTCTTTCCCCTTTTCTTTGTCTTTTTGATTCTTTTTTCAATCTCACTTTCTTTTTTCTCTTTCACATTTTCTCACTTTCATGCTTTCTCTCATTCTGTCTGTTTTTCTGTTTATCTTCCCTTCTTTCTCGCTCTCTGTTTTATCCTTCTTCCTCTCTCTTTTTCTCTCCCTTTCTATCCTCTTCTCCTCTATCTCTGTGCTTGTAAGGCCACAGTTTTGGGGGGGGGTCTTTCTTTTCTCCCCCTCTTTATCTCTCTTTCCCCACCAGTTTCATCCTCATGTCTCCTGTGGGCGTCTGAACTGTGTTATTGTGTTTGACGCTGGTGTTAATTCATCTCTTCTGTATGAACACGGAGCTGCCTTTGGTCCTGAACGAGGGCCGGTGGACTCCAGTCCATCTATGCCAAAATCACACCAGGTTTTCCAGCTGGCACAAAAAAAACAAACAAAAAACTCTCTGGCCTGGTACCTGCTGTGCCTGGGCACGAGGAAAAACACGGAACTGGACTTCCAGGGTTTCTGAATCCAGGAGCCAGTACAAAAAAACGCGAAGGAGTCGGTCTATCTGGAGTAAAAACAGACATTCTGATGTGTTTCCTTTGCCGGAGTCTGAATCTTAGGCTAAATCTGCTGTTATAGAGCAGTGTGTAATTATTCCTGTACAGCGGGGTTTGGAGTTTGGGGTGGGTGGGGCTAAATATGTACATTGGACTGTCTTTTCCTTTTTTCTACTGCACGTTTACCTACAAAACTTCAACTCACGTACTGCTGGGGGACGGGCGAGGGGCGCCATAACGTAGTGACTGAACCATAACACTCATTTGAGAGCTTTTTTTAATCGCCATAAAGCAAAAACACTCGAATCATGTACCCGCTCAACATCCTCCATGTTACTACTACCTTGTAGAGAGACGACAATGAACTTTAACCCCGATCGGCATGCTAACGGTGTTTAATCCTGCACTTAACGAGGAAAAACGAACAACCAAGCATTGGTTACTTCTTACTTCTTTTTGTTTCTATACGATGTGAATGGCGGGCGGCCTTTGCCGCTCGCTCTGATGTGATTAATCAGTTTAATCAATTTGCATTTGTAACGAACAAAAGCAACGAAGGCTTCGGAACGATTTGAAAGAATTTGGTATGTTATGTGTAAAAGTTTGACTTTGACATTAAAACTGCTTCAAACCTCCTTGGCTTTTGTGGTTTGTGGTCCAAGAAAAGTGGATTCTGTCTTTTATACAATTTTTACTTTGATTTTATTTGATTTTATTGTATTTAGAAACCCAGAGATTGTTGAATTTTCTACATTTCTTCATAATTAACTGGTTAGGATATAAACAGGGTTGTTCAGAGTGGTTTGGTGTGAAACGCTCTGTTCTAGAGGAACTTACAGAGTCAGAATTGTTCACACTGCTGGTGATAGGAACCAGATGTTCACCTCTAAAAGCTCCCTCACAGAAACTTATTACATGAAACGGTTATGAATTCACTGCCTGACGTCTGAGACACTGTTTTACGATAGTTTTAAGAAGATTTTGGCCTAAAAATCCATTCATGGTGGAGGGATACATAATATGCAGGGTGCTGTGAGGCAAAATAGTCCCGAAAGAAAACTTATTATTTCAGATTTTCCACTATTTTACTATCAACAACATTCCATACAAAACTCAGAAGACACGTGTAGGTTCACTGGAGATTCTGGATAGTAAATAAAATGGCTATATTTGTGTTGTAGACATGGTGACCCCTGGTTCCTATCACCACCACTGCTTGCAGAAAATTTGAAAAACTGGTGGAATTTCTCTATTCAGGCCTCAAACTATGAGCTTTTTTTCTTGTGTGCTGGACAATCTCAACTATTTTGTACATTTCCTAGTTTTCCTAGACGTTGCACCTGATTGGCTGGGAAAGTCATAAACACTTTAAACTCCAGCAAATTTTATTTCATTACCTGATGCCTTGTGAAGGGCTGGTGATCTGTCCAGGGTGTTTCCTGCCTTTCACCTGATGACTGCTGGGATAGGCTCCAGCTCCCCCCGCAACCCAGAAGGATAAGCGGTTTAGAAAATGTGTGTGTACCTGATTTTATATGCTATGATGGATCTTCACACATTCTGTCATCATTACAACACAGTAGACCAGCAGATATGCACACTGCTCACATATAACACAAACAGGTAGGGCTGGTTATTGAAATTCAACATCTTTATGGTACCAAACACTGGTGATTCTAGGGTTTCACCACTAGGGGGACACAGCCCCCAAAGAGTTTCCTCAAGGCCTTCATCAGTTATTAGGAATGCTACAGACTCTACACGACTTCCCAGCTAGATTTTTCTGTTCTAAAAATGTTCTGAGAATATTACACACATGTTCTATTAATATTTTCTGCAGGAACTTTTTTCCCCAGAATGTGGCCCCAACAACATCCTCAAAACATCGCCTGAATGTTGCAGTTAAAACGTTATGTCTAAGTTAGCACTGAACCTTATAGGAACTACTTGAAATGATGCATATACTTAAAATGTTCTCAGAACATTAGATTAAAATGTTTTATACTTGAGGTTCTAATAATGTTTAAACTGGTAACATTGAGGTAACATTAGCCAAAGCTGTGGGAACGTTTCCTTCTAGCTGGGTTTAAACTATGAAAATTTCAAGCCTTGGCATCTAATATTAGTCTTAGTTTTGTTCTTGGTTGAATGTCTTTACACATGCAGCTAGCCGCATGTTGATTTGTCTGCAACATAATGTCCATGCGACTGAACAGTCACACAAAGCAATTCAAAAACAGTCTTAGGCTGTGTTCAGACTGCAGGCAAATCAGATTTGTTTCTTAATTCAGATATTTTGAGATGACTGTCCTCACTGTTATTTATGAGTGATCAGATCGGATTTGTGTGTCCAGGCATCACCAGCCTATTTGCATGGGTTGCTGTAGTGACAACGTAGATGTCAGTATGTAGTTATGAATTGAATCCCAGAACCTCCGCCACTCTAGATTTGACATTGTCATTGTTTGTTGTGCTGTGAGTGATGCAAAAGACACTTTGAAATCCTGAGCGTCCAGACTGAGACACATCTGTAAAAATCTGACTGGAATAACAATTCAAATCAACTCCAAACGTGGTTTGGATCCCTTTTGCAAAAATCAGATTTCATGTGGATTTTTGCTGTCCAGACTATCAAAAATCAAACTGAATACAATCTGGACATGCCAAAAATCGGGCTGGCAGTCTGAACAAGGCCAAAATTACATGCCACACATTTTACTTTTCCACTAGTTCATCAAACTAGCAGTTCATTATTTTTTCATATACACCACATCATTCTCACTAACACTATACAGTGCTCTGTGTGGTATTATTGACATGTTTGCAGCATCTTTGTATATTTTTTCCAGCAGTCACTCTTTTATATTACATCTTGTGTTTATCTAACTACAGTGCTTTACTATGCGTTTGAATTTGAAATATGTTTAGTGCGTAAGTCTTTAAAGATGAATGGTTAATTTGCCATTAAGGCTGTAATGCCTCACTCGTCCTCTTCTAGAAGTGCTGCCTCTCAGCCTCATCATTTGGATTCCAAAGAATCAGACTTTTAAGAACACCTTCAGACCTCTAACTCACCACCCCACCTCACCTGTCCTTTAGACTCAGCATCAGCAGATTAGGGAAGGTTTTGCACCAGAATCTTCAACACGGATCAAACCACGAAATGGCAGAATGAAAGGGAGAACCAGAAGGATAGTTTGCTGGGTTTTTACTGCAGCTCTGCCTGATGGACCATAGTGGTGAATCCTTTGTGGGGCTTTAGTTGATACTTGTTGATTCTACTGCAATCCTGACATCTAGTGGTCATTTCCAGGTATTACAGCTGGTGTTCCAAGCAAACAGTAAACATAAGGAAGATTGCAATGATGAGAAAACTAGTGTGTTAGCAGAGCATGTTAATCTGTAATAGATAATTAGCTGAATGCAAGTTAAAGACAAGGTGAGCATCTACAAAAGATCTACAGTGGATCATCAAATAAAATATTAAAGGTTAATTCAATTCTTACCCCCACTTTCCCCAGTAATAACATCCTAAAGCAGGTGTTCAAAGTGCACACCAAACTGCAGCTTATTTACTGACCCACATTTATGTCCAATCTCATTTCCTATTTTTACCCCTACCCCTTGTTTTCGAGTGTCACCTTGCTATTTGGAACTGAGTTACAAGAGTAGTGCTTAAAATCGTCTCCTATGAAATGGGACCCTCAAATAAAGAAGAGCATTACTTCATTAACAGGCTACTAGCTGTGGTTGGTCAGTAGGTGACTCTGCCAGTCTGCAGTGATAGCAGAGGAGGGTAAAGTTCAGCTCCTCACTGCTAGGCTTTAGTTACATTTAGGGCATCATGTGCCTTCAAAAAGGGGGGACGTTTTTATCATCGTCCACCGCTAATTCTTCAGTGATATGAATGTGAAGTCAGCTATTCAGCAGCTTCTTGTTTGAATTTTCCCGTTCCACCTTAAATGGTGCACCAGAATGTAACTGCGGCTGCACCATTTAAGGTGGAACGGGAAATTTAGCTCCCTAGCTACTGAGACATCAGCATACTGCTAGCGATTTTTATGCTTGTTATAAAGAAAAGGGCCATAATACATTAAAATGACATTGAACAAAGATAATACAGTGGTCATCGTAATTTGTAATGGAGAAAAAACTCACATTTGTGGGTTTCTTGTGCAGCCATCTTGCTGGTTTTTCATTTTTATTACTCTCTAAAGCCTCTGAAAAACCACCATTTTGAGGGCCATGTAGCCCAACACTACGCCCTACCCATCTCAACAAACATCTGGACACCCTACCCCTAGACGTGAACGCACAAAACGGAGGGGTAGGGCATAGTGGTAGGGAAGAGGGGTTAAATGGGATTGGGCCTTAGTCCAAGTCAAACAAAAACATGGCCATTTATGCTGTTTAATCCACTGTTCTCATTTAATGAAGTGATTTCTGAATGCTGTAGCTGCGTTTATTTGATATGTAAGGAACATTATCTGACAAAATCAAAAATGTATAGATTTTTCTCAACTTTGTCTCACATATTATATTTTTAAACAAGTAAACACTTGAATGGAAATGTGCTTAATACATTAGACATGTTTTATTGTTACTCAAACAATTCTATTATTTGTTAGAAGTGCTTACTGATCCAACAATAAAAGGAGCCTTGTGCATATGTAAGGAAATATGAGTAAAAAACATGATGAGGAAAGCAGGCCGGTGAATCTTGTGTTTGTCCTCGTCGTGACTGAATCGCAGTATTTAACGGTAGAAGATCAGGACCGCTGCTTCAGTCAGCTGCTTGGACGCACTCCAGCCAGTGTGGCTTCCATAACCGTCCCAGTCCAGCGCTGTAAAGTCCCCACACTGCCTCGGAGCTCCCTCAGGGAAATGCCCTCCTCCTCCCACACAGCCCTATGACACAGATCACAGGCCTAGTATAGCTCTAGCTTTCCTTAATGAGAGAGCTACTTCCATTAAAAGTCATATATCTGGAGTCACTTATCATTTACATAAGTTTTGTTATTTTGTGTATAAAACTTATATAATGTGAAATTTCATAACAGATGAAAAATAGTCTTTTTAGATGTTTTGTATTTTTTTGTACAAACTTTCAAGTATTATATACAGTAAATTATATAATGTAATGTATTCACAGTAATATTGGTCAAGTTATCATGTTAATTTTAATAGAACTTCATTTTGGAAATATATAAGAACTTCATTCTGGATATTAATTTTATTAGAACTTAATTTAGGATGTTAATTTTATTAGAATTTCATTTTATTAGAACTTCACTCAGGATGTTAATTTTATTAGAACTTCATTTTGGATATTAATTTTATTAGAACTTCATTCTGGATATTAATTTTATTAGAATGTCATTCTAAATCTTAATTTTATTAGAACTAAATTCTAGGCTGCCCACTTTCGAACGAGACCAAACTTGCGTCTTTCCCTCAATCTATTCATTAGTAATCCTCATTGTTGTGCAAACAGTGTGTGGGAAAAACAATCGGTCAAAATAAAAAACAACAATTTCAAAAATTAATTAAAATATGATCCCCTTCGAACTCCGCTTCGAAACACGTATCACTGTAAGCGTTCCAACAACATGCCACCCAAGTCTATAGACCAATCAGGTGCCAAGTTATAGAGACACGCAGTCCAGAAGACAGACGTAAACAGTAAACTTGCCTCAGAAGGGCACATTCGCTATACAGCAAACAGAGAGGTGCATGTCATTCATTTGTCAAGCAAGGTACAAAAATGATAAGATAATACGTTATAAGATGTTGCCATAAAATATAGATAGAACACATTCTTTTGGTGCGGTGGAAATTAGTTGTTAACATGAAGGAGAGGCTGGGGGACTTTGGAGACCCCAAGAGGCCACTTAGAAAATTCAAAAAGGCCACTTGGAGAAGCCACTAGGGGTGCAGGACATTAGTTTGAATTAGCTTGAATAACTTCAAATGAGTAGGAGGAATCAACTCCAAATTTTGCATGGTGAAAGTAGACCCCTGGTGGCACATGTTTTAAAGGCAAAAAGTGTTGGGGGACATAAACTCTTTAATCTGTAGTCACTAAAATATAATTTCTAAAATTAAATTGAGGAAAGCGCCTATTTTTTTTGTTTTGTTTTGTTTTGTTTTTATCATATTTTGATCATTTCGTTTAAATATCTTTAAATGTTTTCAGTAACAATTTTGAAGGCTTTTCAGTAACATTACAGCATGAAATGCTCTCTAGTTTATGTAGTGCTTGAGTAAAAAGCCTTAATATTTGGGTGTGTAATTTCAGGTGGAAAATGGAAAAAAGGGCTGGCTTTTTAATTATCCAACTCCACATAGCAGGAAAGATGATTAGACTAATGTCACCTCACTAATGACATCTACAATAGAACTGTAACAACCTAGCATTAGCAAGCTTAGCTAAGAAAAAATAGTGTACATTTATGGCAAAAATAGCATATCTGAAGATTGACTTTGGTTGAGGACACATATTAACCTGCCTTAAAGTTTGGTAAAAATAAGCGAATTGAGTAGTATATTAAAGGAAACTAAGAACTGGAACAGCGTTTATCGCAGGATTGCATATTTGGTGGCTTTAAAAGCCTCCTACATATTCATTTAGTAGGCATAGCCTAGATATGTTCTTACGTGTTCTGAGTGGCAGGTGTTGGGTTTAATGCCTGAGCAGATGGCCATGGCAGCCTTTTCATAGTTGAACACTCTGAAAGTGATGAAGCCAGCTTCTGCAGTCCCTGTGAAAAAAAAATAATAATAATAATAATAAAAGATCTGCAGATTTAAGATCACGTGTTGGAAAATAAACTTCAAGCTCATTTAGAGCTTAAAAAATTAAAACAACTTTAAAATCTGTCCTAAAAATGGAAGCCAGTGCCTTTCTTTTAAAATAGGGATTGTACATTGTGTGTACAACGCAAAAGGGCTTAATTTCTTACAGAAAAGTTTTTGCTGGAATTTAATACCAAGTATCAGTATCTTGTGTTTTGTCCTGATTAAGCAGCAAACATTTTTGAGGCTCCCTGAGAACCATCTGGCAGTTTATTAACCTGTTGACAAAGTCTATGAAGTGCAGAGGGAGTGGAAATGCACAATTGTATATTGTCTGTGTAGCTGTCGTATCTTTTCTGATCAAATTTCCTAAAGGTAGCATGTACAGGGAGAAAAGCAGTGACCCAAAAATGGAACCTTGTGGAACACCAAATGAAACGCTTCAATTTTTAGTTGAATGCAACAAAAAGCTGCCTGTTTATCGAAACATGATTTAAACCACTCTAAATCTGTGTCTAAAAGGCCGAACAAGGATCTTTTGGTTAGACCAGAATCTTAGACTTTCACTACGAAGTATCTGACATGTTGTTAGCCTGATGACAGAGTTTTGACTTTCCAAGAGAATAAAAATCCACCCCTGTGTAAAATGAAACCTTGTGGAACTCCAGATGAAACACTGCAATACTTGGATAAATCTAGTGCTGTGAAAAGTATTTGCCCCTCTGCCGATTTCCTCTATTTGTGCTAATTTGTTACATTTAAATGTTTCAGATCATCCAACTTATTTTAATTTAGGATCAAAAACAACACAAGTAGACACAAAATGCAGTTTTTAAAAGATCATTCCATTTATTGAAGATAAAAGATTTATTCAAAACCTGTATCTCCCATGTGAAAACGTAACTGCCCCTAAACCTAATTACTGGCAATAACAACTGCAATCAAACGCAATCATTGCATTAACTTGCAATGAGTCTTCTACTTTGCTGTGGAGGATTTCCAGCCCACTCTTCTTTGTAGAAGTGTTTGAATTTGAACTGCCTGTTTACCCCCCAATGGGATTCAAATCAGGACTTTGACTGGGCCACTCCAAGACCTTAATTTGAGCCATTCAGAGGTGGACTTGCTTATGTGCTTTGGATCATTGTCCTGCTGCATAACCCAACCGCACTTGAGCTTGAGGTCAAGAACTGACAGGTGGGTTTTCTAATAGAGAGCAAAATTCATGGTTCCTTCAATTATGTTAAGTCGTCCAGGCCCTGCAGAAGCAAAGCAGCCCCCAACCATCACACTACCACCTCCGTGTTTGACTGTTAGGATGATGTTCTTATGGTGGAATGCAGTGTTAGTTTACGCCAGATGTAATGGGACCCATGTCTTCCAAAAAGTTCTACCTTTGACTCATCAGTCCAGAGAATATTATCCCAAACGTCTTGGGGGATATCTGGATGTTTTTTGACAAATGTGATACGAGTCTTTGTGTTCTTCGGTCAGCAGTGGTTTGCACCTTGCAACTCTACCATGGAGGCCATTTTTTCCCAGTGTCTTTCTTATTGTGGAATTGTGTACATTGACTATCACTGGGGCAAGTGAGGCCTGCAGTTCTTTAGATGTTCGTCTGAGTTGTCCCTCCCGGATAAGTTGTCGATCTACTCTTGGTGAAATTTTGATAGGCCAGCTACTTCTAGGAAGGTTCACCACTGCTCCAGGTTTTCTCCATTTGTGGATAACAGCTCTCACTGTGGTTTGTTGGAGCCCCAGAGCCTTAGAAATGGCTTTGTAACCCTTTTCAGACTGGTAGATTTCAATGACTTTGTTTTGAATCTCTTCAGATTCTCTAGATTCACAAAGTCTTTAGACTTTGATTTGAATCTCTTTAGAATGTGGCATCATGTGCTGCTTTTTAAGACCTTCTAGTCTGTTTCATACTGCGCGATAGATCATATTAAAGTGATGTTTAGATTTAACAGGTCTGGCAGTAATCATCCCATGGGTGTGGATAGTGAAATTGAATCTAAAAGTCAACTGAACTTTGTTAACTGGTTGATTAAGTAGCTAAGGGGGCAATTACTTTTTCACATGAGGCCAGGTAGGGCAGAACATCATTTTTCCTTTAATAAATGAAATTTAAATAATTTAAAAACATCATCTTGTGTTTACTTGAGTTCTTTGTCTAATATAAAAAGTACTTTGATGATCTGAAACATTCGAGTGTGACAGGTATGCAAAAAATAGAAGAAACTGGGAAGGGGCAAATACATTTTCACATCAAGAAACCCCCTGTTTAAAATAAACCTTTCTAAAGATGTGCTGAGAGGCATGCCTAGTTTTCAGGTTGATGCATCAGTATCTTCTGATCAGCTGTATTGAACGCCACACTAAGATCCAGTAGGAACAGAATCTTGTTTTTTGTCCCGATTAAGCTACCAACAGTTTTGTGATGCCACCAGGTCTTTCGGAGGAATAGGAAATGTATAATTATGTATGATCGTTGTAGATATCAAACGGCATCTTATGTTTTTTGAAAACATTTCCTAGAGGGAACAGGCACAGTGAAAAAAGCAGTGGCCCTAAAATGGAACCTTGTGGAACTCCAAATGAAATACCACAATATTTAGATGAAACCATTCTAAAGTTGAGCTTAAGAGGCTGAACCAGTTTTTAGGCCAATGGATCAGAATCTGGTGATTGACTGTGTCAAATGTGGCACTAAGCTCCAGGAGGACCAGAATGGATGGGTTATGTGAATCAGTACTATAAGGTCATTTACTACCAACAAAAAACCTTACTTTCTTTGGTACATCATTATATACCAAGTACACCAATATTTTACCTAAACATGGAAGATTTAAAAAATTTCAACAACTTTGCAACGTCCAGTGCTATTACTTTCAGTGAAGTGAGTTTCTGTGAAGAATGTCTTGCATAGAAATGATTTGATAATATGCTGATAAGTTAAATCAAGTGGAAAAAAATGAAGCTGCACAGTGCTGCGGGCTTCCTGAGACTGAGTTGAACACTTCTGTTAAACAATATGGCCATTTTATACCGAGATTAAGCAAAACCACCTAACATCTTGTAAAACCCTTTAAATCTGATTTGTTCCACCATGTTGACACAGAATACAGCAAAGAGGATTAGAGCTCCATTGACAGCGAGAAAACAAAGAGCACAATGAGGAGCTGCTCAGAATAAATGCAGAACTGCTGCTGTTTATAAAACAGATAGTGGTAAGACTCACACACATCATAGCCACTTCTCACTATAGCTCTGCAAAGGATTGACTTATGAGCTTAAGAGTTGCAGAGAACTGTTCTATGTAGGCTTTGTTTAGCTGCTGCTGTGAGGTTTTACAGAAAACGTTTTTACAAAAAATCCTGTTCAAACTAGTGAGAAACTGTACAACACAACTCACAATGCCTGCCTTTAGAGACTGTTATTCATTCAATCAAATGAGAGACTGTAGAACAGACTCAGTTTATATCACAATACCTACATTTAGAGTCAGTTATTCATTCAACCTAATGAGAAACTGTACAACAGACTCAGTTTATATCACAATACCTACATTTAGAGCCAGTTTTTCATTCAACCTAATGAGAAACTGTAGAACAGACTCAGTTTATATCACAATACCTACATTTAGAGTCAGTTATTCATTCAGCCTAATGAGAAACTGTAGAACAGACTCAGTTTATATCACAATACCTACATTTAGAGTCAGTTATTCCTTCAACCTAATGAGAACCAGATTCTTTGTCATATATACTGACATTACAGCAAAAACAGAAAGAGCAATATGTACTATAAGTATAGTCAAACTACATGGTGACAGCAGTGAAGAGACACAAACGGCGGTGTCTTAAAATTCCAATAAAAAAAGATCAAGTTTCTATAAAGTTACATGATGCAGTTGTCGAGGCTTACTTGCTCTTATATAGTTTGAGATAAAAAAAAAACCTCTAGAGTTTGTCCAACCTCACAAAAGTTGCTACGAAAGAACACATTTGTGGATGAAGCCTGAAAGATAAATTGACTGGAAACCATAAATATACCTCTAATATGTGGTCCATACAAGTTATGGTTGGATTTAGCATCTCCAACATCATACACCACTGGAATGGAGGGACCGTTGTTTGAAGGACATGATCCTCCATTGTACCTCACAGGGTAACGCTGAAAACACAACATTAAAATTCATGGTCTGAAATATCTTCTTTAAAATATATACTGTATAATAACAATAATATACCATATCATGATTGTTTACAAATCTAGGTATCTATATACACAGAACTGTACATGTTTTAACACTATGGGACTGTGTGCTGTGTGGATGACATGTAAACAGGTTATTTAACATAGACTTCATTAAATAATCCCTCATGACTTGTCAGTAATTGTTGAAAACCAAAGTTTCCTCATTTTTTTAAATGCAGGATTTTGATAAATGATCTAAACATATGGTTCACTGCCAATTTTTTATTGCACAATTGCTGTTTACATGCTGAATTTAGCTTATTGGAGAGGAAATAATATGCCCCCATCAAACATTATGGCACTTTTAAATATTATGTTTGTTTTTTTTTGTTTTTTTTTTCCCAATTTGTTACACTCAGCAAATAAACAGAAACTGTGCACTAAAATTTACAGAAAAATTCCGTATTTAAGTGTGTTCTCTGTAATCATAAGTTGTACATCTTTCTAGCTGTAGCACTGTGTAAAGCTGTTTGTGATCCTAACCGTGAACAGCTGAAAGAGGTTTCCTCCATAGTTATTGAGGAAGTTGGTCTCGGTGTGGTAGCGCAGGAATGAGCTTTGGGTCCAGCGGTCCAGCTGTTCGTTATTAGGAACGTGCCAAACAGACACATCCTGCGCTGTGATATCATAGTAACCAGGATTCTGTAAAGGATAACAAGAAACTACATCAGCAAAACTTCATGGACAAAATATCAGCAGATATGCAGAAATATGTCTGCAAATCTGAATACTAACATATTTTAACTATATTCATATTTTCCCTAAAACAGTCACATTAATAAAATAAAGTAAAATTCAAAACTACTAGTTACTTCATGCAGCCACGCAAAATTTACAAGTACAACCCCGTTTCCACAGTTGTTGTGATGCTGTGCAAAATAAAAATATAAACAGAATGCAGTGATGTGCAAATCACTTAAACACTATATTTAATTGAAAATAGTACAAAGACAACATATCAAATGTTGAAACTTAGAAATTTTTTTTTTTTTTGAAAAATATATACCCATTTTGAATATATTTCCAGCAACAATTTAAAAAAAAGCTGGGATGGGGGCAACAAAAGCACCTGGTGGAACATCTCAGAACTAATTAGGTTAACTGGCAACAGATCACTAACATGACGGGGTATAAAAAGAGCATCTCAGAGAGGCTGAATTCACCACTCTGTGAAAGACTGCGCAGGCAAATATGACAACAATTCAAGAATAATGTTTCTCAATGTAAAATAACAAAGAATTTGGGGATTTTATCATCTACGGTACGTAATTTCACTAAAAGATTCAGAGAATCAAAGCTCTGTATGCAAGGGACATATTGGATATTATATTGGATGGCCATAATCTCTTTAGGCCCCCATGCAGCACTGCATTAAAAGTGGACACAATTCTGTAGTGGAAATCACTTCATGGGCTCAGGAACACTTTCGAAAACCATTGTCTATGGACATGGTTCATCACTGCATCTACAAATACAAGTTAAAACTATACCACACAAAGCAAAAAATCATATATAAACAGGATCCAGAAACACTGCCGCCTTCTCTGGGCCTGAGCTTATTTAAGATGCACAGAGGCAAAGTGTCTTGTGGTCCAACAAATCAAAGTTTTAATATCTTTTAAGAACCCATGGATGACTGTGGTTCAGACCTTGTACCCAATAAAAACATTTGGTGCATTATGAAACAAAAAAATGACATAGGAGACCCTGAAGTGATGAGCAGCTGAAATCCTCTATCAAGCAAGGATGAGAAAACATTTCACTTTCAAAACCACAGCGATTGGTCTCCTCAGTTCCAAAACTCTCACAGAGTGTCGTTAAAAGAAAAGGTGATGAAACACAGTGGTAAACATGCCCCCGTCCCAACATTTTTGAAATGCGTTGCTGGCATCAAATTCAAAATGGGCATATATTTTTCAAAAAAACAATTACGAGTTTGTCTTTGTACTAGTTTAAAAAAAATATATAAAATTTAAATGATCTGCACATCATTGGATTCTATTTTTATTTACCTATTGCACAGCATCTCAACTTTTTTGGAAACACAGTTGTAGTTTTTAATTATGCATTTTTTCAATTTGCCTTGTCATACAGTAATTAATTACTGCATGAATGAATTTAGCTAAAATATTAACTGTTTATAAATTCAACACTAAGAATAATATTTCATTTTACAGCTAGTTTCATTTTATGAATTGGAACAATGAGTTTCTTCATTGGATGGTGCACTTTACATCTTTCATTTTTGGGCCTGAATCTTAAATTTAGTTCTCTAAATTATTTTTACAAAAATTTTGGTAGTGTTCCTATTGCACCTGTGAATTTCTAATTTCTGCATGCAATATGTGCTCTTGTTTACTATTTCTGTGAACATGTCAAACATCCCTTACCCAACATCCCCACCTCAGTGGCCACAATTGTTAAAAAGGTTTAAAAGAAAATATGATTGATCCCATCTGAGAAAATATAGGATCAAAAAGTGTGGCTGTGTTTTAAATACTCCATGTGGCGTTAAATATTTCAAACAGAAAGATAATATTCAATGGTGTAATTTAGAAAAAGGGGCTAGAGGAATTTTAAAAAATGGATTAAATTTCAAAGATGAAAGATTTAATGCCTTAACATAAGAAAAGGACACCCAATACATGAACCTGTTGTGGGAACTTATCATTATTAAACAAGTTAATTTAAAACAATATTTTATCCTTAGTATTGTATTTGTAACCAGTTAAAATTTCAGCTCAGTCAGTTTATTCTGTAAGGATTAACATTGACAATAAATGTGCAATTTAGAATCTGATAAAACCTTAACATTTCAATCCTAAAAACTATTGCATTGTTGCATGAATTATTTTTTTATGGAAATTCCTGACATGACCTGACAGACCTTAGGTGAGCAAGAATGGACTAACCCTACTGCACTTCAGTACAACAGTACTAAAGGCTGATATTGTCACAGAAATCCCAAAAAAAAGTTTAGCAAAACTTACATTGAACCTAAGAAATAATGTTTTGTTTGTGGTGTTTCACAGTTGTACCTTGTAGTCGTCACCGGTAGCAGCTTCTGCAGTTCCAAATGTGACTCTATTAGCCCAGTTTCCCTCTCCATTGGGTACATTTGGGTTATTACCTTGCTGGCTAGACCAGCGGTCACCTACAGTGCATTTCCCATACATATTGTTCTCATGCACACTGGCCACCAGTGTCCAGCCACCTCCAGCAGTGGTCATATCACAGTAGGTCTGGTAGACCACCCCACTTGGAGTAGTCAGGTAGTAAAGACCATCTGGAAGAAAATTTAACTAAATTAATTTTACAGTTTTCAGGTTTCACTATGGGTTTCACTAAAATCTTAAAGTCACTTTTTCCCCCAGACAATATTTGGCTACACCAAATAAAATCTAATCAGTCACTTCAACGCCTACCTTCCTTGGTTTTATATTTTTCCATGAGTTCTTTGCAGCTCCTTGGACTAAAATATTCCATTTCTGCAGAAAATAAATGTGGCTTTTTGTCATTTTAATGTGCTGCTGTTTAACTCTTAACATTGAATAAGAGCATGAACATTTTTAAAATAGGCGTCCCAAAAATACATGGGTTACTTTCACATAGAATTACAAAAGTTAGGGCACACCCTGGTCAAGTTCCATGTTTTTTGTTGATTTTCTGTATAAAATTAACACATCCTCTACTGAGGACACATGTCTGTGCATTTTAATGCACAATTATTGTTTATGTAATGAATTTAATATATTGTGAAAAAATACAATATAAAATGTGACCCATGCAAAGGTTACAGCACATTTAATATTTTGTATTTTACTTTTCCCCAATATGATAAACAGTTCATACACAGAATTCCAGCACTAAAACTTCCAGAAAAACTCCATGTAAATGTGTTCCCTGTAAAGGACATGTTAACTTATCTTCAAATCAACAAAACATGTAACTTTACTGAGGTGCTCAAACTTTTGCATGTGACCTCAATCAGGAAAGATAAAAAGAAGTAGTATTATCTTACCCCTCTCAGACTCAGAGAGTTCTATGAAGGAGATCATCACAAGCAATAGAATCCAGTTCATTATCTCTGTTAGAAAAAAATGGACATATTGATGGACTACTGATTTACATATATCAGATTGACAAGTTCTGATGACCTTCAGTTGGTCATTTACTGATGGACAGGTTTGACTGAAAGACACCTTCATAATTTTTCAGAAAAATGATCCTTAATATAGTATTTCTGAGGGAAATTGTGTGTCAGTTTTCGGTACTTTTCATAGAAACAGCAAATTACAAAATCGACTTTGTATCTGAAGGCAATGTAAAGTCGAGGGCGGTAATACTGGTTGTAATGTAGATCTGAAAAAATACAATGAATCATTAAATTACAAATTTCATCATGATTTGATTTTCGTTATGATTCAGAAATACTTTTAAAAATACACTGAACACACTGACACACTATATGCAGTAAGCTATCTTTGTTACATTTTACTGTAATGAATATTGTTAAGAGTGATTATAATTGATTCTAGGAGGTGAAGGAGGTGATTTTCAAATGCTAGAATCAAATACAATAAATACAAATAAATATAATAATCTCATCTAGACTGGGCACTAGACTAAGCACAGGACACCAAATAAAGAGTAAATTGAACTAGAAACAGAAAGATTCATATTGATTTCAACACAGTTAATGGAACATTGAAGACATGGACAGCTTTTGCCTACTTAAATGAATTATTAACCCTTCCATGAACTCGCCCATGTGTCATGTTTCTATATATGTTTCTCTATCTTTGTGATAATACAGTGCAGAAATACAGTTCAAACATTCTATCATCAAATGTATATTTTAAAAGCTACTCTTTTCAATTAGAATTGTATGATGTTAAGTTAAAACATATTTACATATCACATTATCATGTATATCCACATTTGTATGCCCTTACTGCTGACCAAATGACCTAAAATAAAGTTTATTTTCAAGCCAAACAAACCTACCGAAGTAGCCAAGGAGCTCATGAGGAAAAGTGTGGGAAACCTAATCTACAGTCATGTGCAAAAGTTTGCATCCCCCTGGTGAAATTCTATGCTTTGTTGACATTCTAAGTAAAAATAAGTTAATGCATCTTCTACAGAAAACACACTCAAATATGACTGCAAAATTTAATGCATAGTTTCTCTTTATTTGCTGAGTTTAATACATTGGAAAATTAAAAACATAAAATATAAGGTGTGTCAACTTTTGCACAGGCCACATTTTATGTTTTTTTTTCCTCAATATGTTAAAATCAGTAGATAAACAGTAATGATGAATAAAAATGTGCAGAAGTGTGTTGTCTGTAGAGGATGTGTTTACTTATTAATGCTTAGAAAATCAACAACAACATATAAGACCAGGAGTGACAAACTTTTGCACATGACTTTAGGTAGAGCTAAGCGAATACGGTCTTTTCATATTCAGCATTTTCTTATGAATGGTGCATTTTGGTTTACGCCTTTTATATTTGACTTGAAACAATTAAAGATTTCAACAATCACAAGTTTGCTAAAGCTGATGTAACATTAGGGTAATATTTATACTCAAAAACAGTAAAAATGTTTGTACTGCAAAAGCTTAGAGTGCTGCAGAAAAGACACTTCCCTATATTGTGTAAATAAAATTGAATTCAGATTAAACTTCAAAAAATTGTCAAATTTGCACATTATTTGAATTATAAACTCTAAAATGCTGAAATTTCATTATTTTTGAGGCCTATTGTCTTAGAATTTCAACAGCCAAAAGTGTCTGTGTTTGCAAAAAACACTCAGTTATGAAATGAAAACAGAAGCTAACAGAAAAGGAGAGATTTCTACTCCATAAAACATACAGACAAACAGCAGAAACAATGAGCTAACTATGTAAAAAGTGCAGAAAAACACTATTTCAGTAGAAATGCACTCACTTCGTATGGTGGCTTCCTGTGTGCCGAGTTAATCAGTGAAGTTTAAGGAAGAATATCTAAGTTCCAACACTTTCAGCTATTCTAAGATTTAATCAAGTCCAAAAGTTTCTTACATGGGTAAAGAAGAATGATGAACAGAGATTGAAGCTGTTTTGCTGTGGTCAGGGCAGTGGGTGGACAGTACTTAAGTAGAGAAGAAGGAGGAAGGAAATCCTGAAAGTTCACATTTCCCAAGTCCAAACTATTCGACTCTGCAGCACAGTTAGTGACACTCTTATAATGAAAAGATCTGCTTAAAGTGTTCTTGGCTTGTGAAACTGACACGTCCTCTACAGAGAACAATTTTAATGCACAATTTCTATTTCATCACTATAACACACAAAATGTACCATAACTTTTGCACAGGCCACACTTTCTGATTTTTCTCCCCAAATACACTGAATTCAGCAAATAAACAGTAAATCAACAAAATGTAATTTGACTGGGGTGCCCAAACTTTTGCACACGAGTGTAGGTTCTTAAACATAAGTGAACGAGTCTGGGTGTTTCTGCAATTATGGCCACTTTTAGATCAAGGGAGTGGAAAAACTTTATAAAACCTATGTATTTAGTGCCATAATACATTTGTTACATACACAACTTCTCCTAAATGGAATGAGCTGCACAAGAAACTTTGTTTGTTTTTTTTTCCCCAAAATATTCTCAGGCCTCTGGAAAGACTTTGTTCGTACTGTGTGAGTCCCCGGGATGGCTGACCCTTCAAGGAGGGTCTGTGAGGGTCTGTGTGGCCATTTTGTTGTTTTTGTATGTTAGTGTTTTAGTGTTGTTGTTGTTGTTAGGTTGGGATGTGTGTGTGTTGCCTGTGTTTTATTGTGTCAGCCCAGAGGTCATTTGGGGTCAGTCTGTGTGGCAGAAAGTGACCTCCCCACTGTTTCAGCTGTTTTTCAGTGGCCTTTTTCTGCTTGTAAAAAAAAAAAGCCATTTCTGAGCACAATTTATGGCATCTTGAGGTTCTTCTCCACCACAATACAACAGTATTTATACATGATGCTCAAAATTAATTATTGAAAACAGTCATTTTGTTTTATTAAATGTTTAGAGCCTGGAGTATTGCTTAAAACATGGTTAAAATAATTGTTCCTAATTGCTCCTGTTATAACCACCACAATAACCACTCTTCATCATGGTCTGAATGAAGGTACCACAAAAATGATTAAAAAAAGACAAAACGGGGACGAACCTTCATTTGTATGCAAACATATGCAAAAACCGTCGATGATTTAAACAAATTTTAGTGCACAATTTGTATTTATTATAACATATTGGAAAAAAATAATACATAATACATGAAATGTGGCCTAACATTTGCCCAGGCCACATATTATGTCCTATTTTTTCCCCAGTATGTCAAATTCAGTAAATGAACAGTAACTGTGTCTTAAAATGTGCAGAAGCGTTTTCTCTGTAGAGGACATGTTTACTTATTCACACTCAGAAAATCAACAACAACATGGAATTTGACTGGGGTGCCCAAACTTTTGCACACAACTGTGATTGAGGTAGAACTTTACATGTAGAGGTTCTTCAAACCTTCAAAAAGTTTCTTCACATTAGCACATTAACAAAGATCGGTCTCACTGGTACTGATTCAGGGAGGGGGGGGTGTAGGGGGGATATGCCACCCCACTTTTTTAAAATTACACAAGATATTTTAGGCCTACAGGGTGATTGTCGATAAACAAGGACACAAACTGTCATTGCTGTGAAGCACCAGCATACAGTATCCCGATTTGAGGTTGAGGACTAAGCAAAGTTCTGTAAATCGCCTTGCTATGACATATAAAGCAGGGCTGGGCTGCTTTATATGGACTTTTATCTAGACCAGGCCCGCTCCAACCACAGTGACCTCTCACCTCCACCCTGGACTGAGCCTGTGATCATGGTTACAGTGAGTGGACGCACAATAAACACGGTTTATCTCTTTGAACAACATGAGTGTGAACATGTCGAAGACACACTGCACTGCAATAGTTTAACACTTCCTTACTGTGATTGTTGATGTAGGCCTTAACAATTATTAACAATACTTACTTTTTCTTCGTATTATTATCAATATTATCATTATTAAGACATTTTGCAAAAATATGTGAAACTCAGGTTAAGAATTTTTGTGACAATAGGAAGAGAACATTTTAACTGGCAACAAAATTGAACCTCTATGTTGAATATGTGTGATATTATTACTAGTAGTAGTAGTGGTAGTAGGAGTTTTGTGATGTAATATTTAGATCAGATCAGTATGGTAGGTGTAATTGTAAGCATACTTTGTTTACATTTAAACTGCTGTATGTAGGCCTGACTGCCCCCTCACTCGTCAGAAATCTGCAAATTTGAACCCCAGATTGCTTTTAACTGTGCTGTGGCAACAGAATACAGACGCTCGCGGATGTACAAAAACGACAAGTTTAATATAGACAGGCAAACAAAGCAAAAAGGGCAGAGCTGAAGTCAGGGTCAAAAATCAGGCAAAAGGTTCAAAACACAGGTCAGTCAAAATCAGGCAATAGTACAAAAGGATCAGGCAAAAAGACAAAGTCAAGGTGAACAAAATGGAGGTCAGCAATATGGAAAACAGGCAGTCGGAAAACAGGCAGTTGGAAAACAGGCAGTCGGAAAACAGGCAGTCGGAAGGTCATACCGATACAATACTTCACATTGATCCTAACTAAAGCCCGGGCTTATAAAAGAAGCTAACTAGTCATATGACCAAGTTCACAGGGGTCCCCAGTTAGTATTCTGGGGAGTTTGAGTGCTGATTGGAGCGCGAACGAGAGTCAGGAGTCATGTGATCTCCCCTTGAATTGTGGGCAATGGAGTCCCTGTCTAAATCCGAGTTGGAGGGAAGTTGCTCGGTCACGTGACTTCCCAGAGGAGTCTGGGAAATGAAGTCTGTATCCTTGTCAGAGAACGCTGAATGCGTGACATTAACCCCTCAATTGAAAACCATTGGGATATTTTTTATTAATATAATGAAATTTACTTCTAAAATAAAAAAAAATCTGATTTAATTCAAATTGTTCAAATTTAAGGCTGAACTGAAAGACCTCCAAACAGGCTGAAAGAGCACTTCAGCTACTTTCGACTGAAAGGTTACTTTTGTTAAATTGTGGAACTAAATATACAGCTGTGTGCAAAAAATTGTGCTCCCCGTAACCATGTTGTTGATGATTTCCTAAGCGTAAACACTTCCTCTAAAGAGAACACACTTCTACACATTTTAATACACAATTACTTACACCGATCAGGCATAACATTATGACCACCTCCTTGTTTCTACGCTCATTGTACATTTTATCAGCTCCACTTACTATATAGGTGCACTTTGTAGTTCTACAATTACAGACTGTAGTCCATCTGTTTCTCTGCATACTTTGTAAGCCCCCTTTTACCCTGTTCTTCAGTGGTCAGGACCCCCATAGGAGCAGGTACTATTTGGGTGGTGGATCATTCTCAGCACTGCAGTAACACTGACGTGGTGGTGGTGAGTTAGTGTGTGTTGTGCTGGTCTGAGTGGATCAGACACAGCAGTGCTGCTGGAGTTTTTAAACACTGTGTCCACTCACTGTCCACTCTATTAGACACTCCTACCTTGTGATAGCTCATCTGCTGCTTCACAGCTTGTGTTGGTCATCCTCTAGTCCTTCATCAATGGTCACAGGACGCTGCCCACAGGACGCTGTTGGTTGGATATTTTTGGTTGGTGGACTATTCTCAGTCCAGCAGTGACACTGAGGTGTTTAAAAACTCCAGCAGCACTTTTGCATACGACTGTATTGAACCTTTAAACATACATATTTTATAGGGATATATACATAGGTGTCATTCAAATATATACTTATATGCATACCGTTCATACCCATGGAAAAAAACATTATTTAATGTTAACTGAGTAAGAAAGAAAAGAGATACCATTTCCCCAAAGTAACTAATAAAGGGTCACTAAACAGACACTGAAACCTGCTGCAGAAGGTCTTTAGGTGGTTTTGTTGATGTTTGTGGGTGTGTTTGCAGTGCTCAGCAGTTTGCTTGGTGCCATTTGTTATTTGCATTGCAACTCAGCAAGTTTCTGTTCTGTTTGTGTGCCTTGGACCAAATCTTGGTTTTGAGAAAATGGGAACAAAACATGGGAACAAAACATTTTCATGGAAGGTGTGAAGTGGGGGTGCCAAGGGGGCTGCAGCTTCTCCCAGATTTCAGAACTATTTTTATAGACTTAAGAAATAAACATTAAATTAAAAATCAAATAAAAATGAAATTAGGATGATAGAGTGCCGTTAAGGAGAGAAGTGCAGTAGAGTTAACAGTATGTTAAATGGACCTGAAAGCTGCTCAGATAGGAACGTTTTCAGCCCACATTTAAAAGAAAAGAGAATTAATTTAATTTAATTAATTTTTTAATTAGTTTGACTTATTATCCCAAGATCTGAGTTAAGTTTGAGGACAAAACTCTGGCATTAGTGTTAGTTAGTGTTGTAGTCAACTCAGATTTAGCTGTCTGAGATCGAGTTAAGACACTGGTCTGAATGAAGGTACCACAGACATTATTTAGTGATAAACCTTCATTCATATGCAAAAGTATACAAAATTTAGTGCATAATTTGTATTTATTTTAACATATTGGGAAAAAAAACAAAACATAAAGCATAAAATGTGGCATAACTTTTGCCCAGACCTCATATTATGTGATATTTTTGTCCCAAAATGTGAAATTCAGTAAATATCCAACAATTATGCATTAAATGTGCAGAAGTGAGTTTTCTGTAGAGGATGTGTTCACTTACTTACACTTAGAAAATCAACAACGACATGGAATTTGACTGGGGTGCACAAACATTTGCACAGAACTGTCAGCAATGGTGCTAGTGTTAAGAAATGGTGTGGGCCGAGACAGTTGATCAGTTCCTAAAAATAATTTAGAATGTAACCTTCAACGTACAACAGCTGAGTGTTGTACATTCTCAGCAGCTTATTGGCCAAAACAAACATATCAGCTGAAAGTGCGAGTGATTGGATAAAGATAAAGCCCACCCTCGATGTAAATGTTCATAAAAACAGAAGCTACTGACAGTTTCCATCATTCTGCCAACTGAAGCCTTCACACTCACCAGCCGTGTGTCAGAGGACAACATCTGTTTTTAAAGGTAGAATATCACATTATTATTATTTTAAAAAATGAATTGAATTGCTTATAGGTTATTAACCTATGGGAAGAGTCAGTACTTGAGACATTTAATGTATTTACTTACTTTTTAAAATCAACAGTAAATTGACCTATCCAGGCTCTGCCCACAAATATGTTCTTTGGTAACTACTATTGGGAAATTGAACAATATTTACAGGACACAGGTAAAAATTCCATTCAACCTAATGA